GGTCGAGTCTTCAGATGTTGTCCGAGTAGCGTTCCTATGGCGACCAACATCGTCTGTCGAACGACTAAAAGCGCGGGAAAACGAGTGTGCCAGACGATTTTTATCCCGACAAAACAAATAATAATCTTAAATTCGAATTGAATCACTATGTGGTCAAGCTTAATGTGAACACTACAAAATACTGTATTATAACATTTGGAAACAGATAACACATTATCAACCTTAATTTTATGATCAACTTATTTTTCCTTGCATATGCGGTCTAGCTTAAAAGGTTTTTTTATGTTTTTTAATAGTTTGTGTTACTTTATTTGAAATAAATGTTTGTTTAGTTAATAAAAAATGAATAAGTTTTTAAAAATTTTGTTGTCTGTTGTATTCAGAATCGCAAAAACTTCATTGCAGAAAATGTCCCCCTTGAGAATAAAATCGACCTGTCCGAGCGATTTGCTTGGACGAATGCGATATCTCTGCCGTTTCGTTTTCGTTGGGACACCCGGTATAGTGTTTTCATTAATTCTATGTTATATTGATTAATGCAATACAATTGCAGACTGATCACCTAAATTCATCAAAAGAAAAGAAAATTGAATTTACCTCTATACTGAAGTATCCTCTGTCTACATAATCACCTAAAAACAAATATTTAGTTGAAGCTGGTGATCCTCCTACTTCAAATAATTTCATCAAATCAAAAAACTGTCCGTGAATATCACCACATACTGAAAAATAAAATAAAATTAACTTAAATAAATTTTTTATAAGAACTTTAGAAAAATTGGAAATAACTTAAGATCATATGCTTGTACCACCATGTCTTTCTCACACTCCCAGCAACAAGCATTTTTTATTACCCCAAACATTTTTGGTCTCTTTCAGCGACCTGCTTCAGGTTACAATTTGTTTTTGTTACACTTTGAACAGCTAAATTCAGTTTGTACAGTTTAGAATGTTAACTTAAAATTCTGTTCCTCTGATATCATGCTATTTGTTGCCAATTATAATACAGTAGAGCATCGTTTATTTGAAAGCCGGTCAACCAAAATGTCGGTTACCCGAAAGCGTTCCAGTCAACAAATTTAAATTTCTGCTAGTGTTGTGGTGCTGCAACCTTTGGCTATGTCTTGGGCTACTCCAATATTTTTTTGTTGGTGTGTGTGTTTTAGCTGGCAGCACTGGCACTTTTGTGTAGTGTTTTTCTGAGGACTGTGTGTCGTGCTGAATCAAACGTTTTTGATACTAGATTAACTTCTAAAGTATATTTTTTGTTTTTATATTTTTCAATATATTTATTTTGTTTGTGCAAAATAAAGAAATAATTTTTAACAATACAATAGCCACGATTATTATTATAAAAATTTTCATTAAGCTTAACATTGACAAAAATTCAACACAAAGTGGCATGCAACGGAGAAAATTTTCAACATGGGCTAGGTTAATATATTTTTTTGTACGTAATCGGTTATCCAAAAAATAAGTTATCCAAATAACCCCAGTCCCCAATTGATTCGGATAAACAACGCTCTACTGTATACAATTATCTCTCATATAACACGGTAATTACATTACAAAAAAGTGCCATGTTATGCAAATGCATGCTATATGAAATAAAGGACTAATACAAAACAAAGGGTTAGGTTCCAAAAGTTAACAAAAGTGTACTATTCTTTTTCAATACTAAGAGAAATATGTTTATTAAAGCAATCTATAAAAACAAGACACAGTGACAGTCTTAACGGCTAAAGTCTAAAAGCAATGATGCCTGGTTAATAAAAATGCTACCATAAGTTTTCATTAAAGTAAACCTGATGAAAGGCACAAAACAATATTATATATTATTGCAATATTATATATTATTACAAAACAATATTGCAATATTATAAAATATGTGGGCAAATTTGAGACAACATGCATGCATACTTAAAACAAAAAATATTGAATAATAGAGTTTGCACTTAAAAGTTGTGAAATTTTGTATGGACAATTTCCTAAATTCTTGAATCATGTTGGAATACAACTGGAAAGTTGTGTTCTATGGGGATACCCCAATTTTCCAACCATGTTAAAGTGAAACTGTGTTACAGAAGTACCGCGTTGTACAAGGGATACATAAACTTAAATGTACTGATTTACCAATTACATAGATGATGATATGAAACATTAATAATATGATTGTAAATGTTAATACTGTAGATAAAATATACTCAAATTGAGATGAAGCAAGGCTAAAATAAGCACATATCCTCCCCCTCCCTGTTTTTCTTGACTTATGTCATCTCCATTCTGCACACGTGTTCGGCAATCCCCCATTTGTTTCGGCATTTGGTGATTAGTTTGCCAGATGATGCCCGTTAAACATGGGTGAAAACATTTGCAATTGTTATAAAAATTTGCTGGTTAATAGGTTTAGTGGTTTAATAAGCAGATATTTGATAAACACAAACATATGACTTTAGAAATTTTGGAAATATTCAATGCAACTATTAAAAGGAAGTACATTAATGATAAGAATTCCTCCACACTTTCTGATGCATTGTGTGATAACCCATTATACATTAATGTTGAGTATTTGAATCCTGGTTAAATATTAATTTTTGTGTAATATTTTGTCTATATAACATTTACATTATATTATTACTTGTTTATATCATTTAGTTCTTTTGGATGCATTTTTAAAGCACTAATTATAAAAGTTTATAAAACTGCAAACAGTAGCAAAAAATGCCATTACTCTAATGTTACCAACTTTAACTTCACAAACAGCAATGGAATCAGAATTCATGTAAAAACGAAAAATGACAATATGTAATAGAAATAAATCCACACTAATTATTTATAAAAAATTTAAGTTTTAGATGCACAGTCAAACTGTTTGTAATTCTTAAAGTTCATAAGTGTAGGAGCTCTCGTAATTAAATTTTCATAGATATGCGTGCACTTTCTTATTAAACACATCTAACTATGGGTATTTGTTGTAAATCATTCTGTCATATACAGGGTGGTTCCAAACTGGAGAAAATCTTTGGAAATATATTCCTGGTAGGACAAAAAATGAAAATAGTCCTTTTAACCTGTCGGCACACGCCTAGTACTAATTAGGCACTAATCAATTTTTAATTAGTTATACAAACATCGCTAAACCCGATATATAATATAGCTAAACACCAACCGAATGCCGAAAATCTATTGGGCTAGTTTAAGGCTAATTACTAAATGAATTATGTAACCAATTTGGCTCTAGAGGTAAGCATTAGGCACCATCTCTTGTTAACATTAATAATTATAAATAAATTAATTAATTTAAATAATTTAGAACCGCTGGGAGAAAAAATCGGCCCGAAGCGGGACTCAAACCCACAACTCCTGCTTACCGTGCAGGTGTGTTGACAGTTACGCTATCCGGACCTCCAGTCCAATCTCCTCTACCATTTCTCCCAGCAGTTCTAAATTATTTAAATTAATTTATTTATTTATAATTATTAATGTTAACAAGAGATGGTGCCTAACGCTTACCTCTAGAGCCAAATTGGTTACGTAATTCATTTAGTAATTAGCCTTAAACTAATCCAATAGATTTTTGGCATTCGGTTGGTGTTTAGCTTTAATTAGTTAGTGTAAAAATTCTAATTGCTTGAAAAATCTGAAAAAATTACCTGTCTAATTTTTCTTCAATTTTACAATGCACGATTCAATTTTTGCTTAAAGTGTTTCATTATTTTTATGTAATTATTGGTGTCAAATCGGCACTATGGCACGCACGATCTTGGATTTCAATTTTCAAACTTCCTGTCAGTTGATAATACTAAAAATAGCCATAGTGGCACATGCACACTTATAATCATATTATTTTAATGCGAATAACTTCTAAAAAAACTCAAATTTGACCTGAAAATAATTAATTTTTTCCATTGGTATTTTTAAATAATTTTATAAAATTATATAGCACCATGCCCCATATAATTTTTGTATTTTTTTAATTTTATGAATATAAAAATGTGAGCAACTGTAATATATAAATTAAAGAATTTTCATTTATTAACTGCATATACGCGTATGTATCCAGCAGATAGATAGCAGTTTTTTATTGAATTTCTTAAAAATAAAACAGCTGAAGTGTAGGCTTTTTAGTATTTCTCATCTGACATATTCTGAGGCAATTCCCACAACAGTTTTAAAGTTTATGTCTTTTTTTCAATGAAATTTTATGAAAACCAATACCTTTTCATTACCTGCAGTAAATTCTCTCGTAGTGTGAGAGCACTTTACTTACGCAATTGTTACGCACAACAATAGCAATTTAATAAAATAACTATGTAGAATATTTAACCTTTATCTCAATGCTATACATTAAATCTCTTTCTCCTGGTTTCAATGGCAGGACAAATCCCAAAACATTTCAAATAAGTCATTGCATCTTTTTTAGATAATGTGATTTTCTTGCTTCGGTGTTATTGTTCTGCAGTCTCGCAATTAGTTCTAATACAAAACAAAGGGTTAGGTTCCAAAAGTTAACAAAAGTGTACTATTCTTTTTCATTACTAAGAGAAATATGTTTATTAAAGCAATCTATAAAAACAAGACACAGTGACAGTCTTAATGGCTAAAGTCTAAAAGCAATGATGCCTGGTTAATAAAAATGCTACCATAAGTTTTCATTAAAGTAAACCTGATGAAAGGCACAAAACAATATTATATATTNAACAATACAATAGCCACGATTATTATTATAAAAATTTTCATTAAGCTTAACATTGACAAAAATTCAACACAAAGTGGCATGCAACGGAGAAAATTTTCAACATGGGCTAGGTTAATATATTTTTTTGTACGTAATCGGTTATCCAAAAAATAAGTTATCCAAATAACCCCAGTCCCCAATTGATTCGGATAAACAACGCTCTACTGTATACAATTATCTCTCATATAACACGGTAATTACATTACAAAAAAGTGCCATGTTATGCAAATGCATGCTATATGAAATAAAGGACTAATACAAAACAAAGGGTTAGGTTCCAAAAGTTAACAAAAGTGTACTATTCTTTTTCAATACTAAGAGAAATATGTTTATTAAAGCAATCTATAAAAACAAGACACAGTGACAGTCTTAACGGCTAAAGTCTAAAAGCAATGATGCCTGGTTAATAAAAATGCTACTATAAGTTTTCATTAAAGTAAACCTGATGAAAGGCACAAAACAATATTATATATTATTGCAATATTATATATTATTACAAAACAATATTGCAATATTATAAAATATGTGGGCAAATTTGAGACAACATGCATGCATACTTAAAACAAAAAATATTGAATAATAGAGTTTGCACTTAAAAGTTGTGAAATTTTGTATGGACAATTTCCTAAATTCTTGAATCATGTTGGAATACAACTGGAAAGTTGTGTTCTATGGGGATACCCCAATTTTCCAACCATGTTAAAGTGAAACTGTGTTACAGAAGTACCGCGTTGTACAAGGGATACATAAACTTAAATGTACTGATTTACCAATTACATAGATGATGATATGAAACATTAATAATATGATTGTAAATGTTAATACTGTAGATAAAATATACTCAAATTGAGATGAAGCAAGGCTAAAATAAGCACATATCCTCCCCCTCCCTGTTTTTCTTGACTTATGTCATCTCCATTCTGCACACGTGTTCGGCAATCCCCCATTTGTTTCGGCATTTGGTGATTAGTTTGCCAGATGATGCCCGTTAAACATGGGTGAAAACATTTGCAATTGTTATAAAAATTTGCTGGTTAATAGGTTTAGTGGTTTAATAAGCAGATATTTGATAAACACAAACATATGACTTTAGAAATTTTGGAAATATTCAATGCAACTATTAAAAGGAAGTACATTAATGATAAGAATTCCTCCACACTTTCTGATGCATTGTGTGATAACCCATTATACATTAATGTTGAGTATTTGAATCCTGGTTAAATATTAATTTTTGTGTAATATTTTGTCTATATAACATTTACATTATATTATTACTTGTTTATATCATTTAGTTCTTTTGGATGCATTTTTAAAGCACTAATTATAAAAGTTTATAAAACTGCAAACAGTAGCAAAAAATGCCATTACTCTAATGTTACCAACTTTAACTTCACAAACAGCAATGGAATCAGAATTCATGTAAAAACGAAAAATGACAATATGTAATAGAAATAAATCCACACTAATTATTTATAAAAAATTTAAGTTTTAGATGCACAGTCAAACTGTTTGTAATTCTTAAAGTTCATAAGTGTAGGAGCTCTCGTAATTAAATTTTCATAGATATGCGTGCACTTTCTTATTAAACACATCTAACTATGGGTATTTGTTGTAAATCATTCTGTCATATACAGGGTGGTTCCAAACTGGAGAAAATCTTTGGAAATATATTCCTGGTAGGACAAAAAATGAAAATAGTCCTTTTAACCTGTCGGCACACGCCTAGTACTAATTAGGCACTAATCAATTTTTAATTAGTTATACAAACATCGCTAAACCCGATATATAATATAGCTAAACACCAACCGAATGCCGAAAATCTATTGGGCTAGTTTAAGGCTAATTACTAAATGAATTATGTAACCAATTTGGCTCTAGAGGTAAGCGTTAGGCACCATCTCTTGTTAACATTAATAATTATAAATAAATTAATTAATTTAAATAATTTAGAACCGCTGGGAGAAAAAATCGGCCCGAAGCGGGACTCAAACCCACAACTCCTGCTTACCGTGCAGGTGTGTTGACAGTTACGCTATCCGGACCTCCAGTCCAATCTCCTCTACCATTTCTCCCAGCAGTTCTAAATTATTTAAATTAATTTATTTATTTATAATTATTAATGTTAACAAGAGATGGTGCCTAACGCTTACCTCTAGAGCCAAATTGGTTACGTAATTCATTTAGTAATTAGCCTTAAACTAGTCCAATAGATTTTTGGCATTCGGTTGGTGTTTAGCTTTAATTAGTTAGTGTAAAAATTCTAATTGCTTGAAAAATCTGAAAAAATTACCTGTCTAATTTTTCTTCAATTTTACAATGCACGATTCAATTTTTGCTTAAAGTGTTTCATTATTTTTATGTAATTATTGGTGTCAAATCGGCACTATGGCACGCACGATCTTGGATTTCAATTTTCAAACTTCCTGTCAGTTGATAATACTAAAAATAGCCATAGTGGCACATGCACACTTATAATCATATTATTTTAATGCGAATAACTTCTAAAAAAACTCAAATTTGACCTGAAAATAATTAATTTTTTCCATTGGTATTTTTAAATAATTTTATAAAATTATATAGCACCATGCCCCATATAATTTTTGTATTTTTTTAATTTTATGAATATAAAAATGTGAGCAACTGTAATATATAAATTAAAGAATTTTCATTTATTAACTGCATATACGCGTATGTATCCAGCAGATAGATAGCAGTTTTTTATTGAATTTCTTAAAAATAAAACAGCTGAAGTGTAGGCTTTTTAGTATTTCTCATCTGACATATTCTGAGGCAATTCCCACAACAGTTTTAAAGTTTATGTCTTTTTTTCAATGAAATTTTATGAAAACCAATACCTTTTCATTACCTGCAGTAAATTCTCTCGTAGTGTGAGAGCACTTTACTTACGCAATTGTTACGCACAACAATAGCAATTTAATAAAATAACTATGTAGAATATTTAACCTTTATCTCAATGCTATACATTAAATCTCTTTCTCCTGGTTTCAATGGCAGGACAAATCCCAAAACATTTCAAATAAGTCATTGCATCTTTTTTAGATAATGTGATTTTCTTGCTTCGGTGTTATTGTTCTGCAGTCTCGCAATTAGTTTTATGATAAGAAATCTAATACTTTCTATTTTGCAACAGTTAAAATTTATGTTCATAACAGAGCAATACCATTTAAGTATTGTGAACAAACATTTATTTGGTCATTTTATAAATATTTCTTAAAGTATTAAATATAAAAACTATAGAATTCATTACTGGCAATACTATTTGTCAAATCTGAAACAAAACATTCCCCTGAGTGCAAGAAAACAATTTGTTAGTTGTTCAACCCAATTTTGACATAGAAGGGAGTTTTTGAAAACGAAGTATTAAAAAAATTAGCAGTTTATTTATTGTATTTCACAGTGGGGGACCGGCAGAGTCTATTATTTTTGCAGAAGAAAATAAACAAAGCTTTACTATCCTGAATTTGAAAAATAATACGATCCTGTAAAATTTAACATATCTGATGTCAATAAGACAAAGTTGAAATTATTTATATTCAGTTGATATTTAATAAGTTTACTTTTTGCATTTACAGATCAAATTTCATAAAATATAAATAAAAATCTCAGTTTTTACCCATAAGTATTTTAGATAGTAGAAAAAATGTAGAAATCCAAAATATAATCGTAATCAAGCATATATATCAGTTAAAATATAAAAATTGCATTAAAATAACACACTTTGTTGAACATCTCAAACGAAAAAGTAATTGAATTGAGTCCCGCTGCCATATTGATTAATGCGCAATCAATTCTGAGAATGTCACGTTGCATAAAATAAAATAATTTATAAAAATTAAAATAATAAACACGTATATAAAATAATTGACTATATCTGTTTGCAATAATATTGTAAAACACACTGCACTTATAGTTTAGCATTTCTGTTACTATTTAATTAATTTTTGAATTTTATTACATTTTATATATAAAAATCGAAGGAAAAACATAAATGCGTAAAACTTAATAAAAAAAATATCTGAAACTTCAGAAAATACATAAATATGAGAATCCATCGAAAAAAGATAGTTAACAATAATTAAAATCGAGAAAAAAAATAAAACTTTCAAGGTAAGGAAATTTCTGTGATAAAAAGTGAGGTAAGTGATCATGTGACACCTGTCTCCCCACCTTCTGTAACCAAAGCAGATGAGGTTGAAATAAAAGCAAAAACATCAGTAGAAGTAAAAACAAATATTGGCATGTGTCTAGGAGAATAAACTCAAACGGGAGTGAAGATGAAACGTGACACCATGTAATTTATGCTAATTATCTTCTAATATTAAAAATTTTAAATCTTCAATTAATTATAATAAAATTAAATTTTTTGACTGAATTCTACTACAAACATATTATAGAACTGGATTAAAGTAAAAATATCCACTTTTCGACACAAAATTTTTATTAATTAATCTTTTAAATTGGTGCCGAATTGACCAAGGATGTGCAATTTCTGTTTGACTGCACACGCGCATGACGATGGGTTAACCAAATATGAAAAAATGCATTGATACCAGATAGATGAATTGCTGGATATCATAAACTAATATAACATAACAATGCAGAACAGTAAGGAATGTGTATCACAGGCAGAGTCACAGTAGATGATTTAAGTGTTCTCCATAGTTTAGTGCAAGCTGTAACATGTTGCATCATGAACTGACACATCCTTTTGAATGTTCCTGCCTGTATCCAGTATTACAGGTAGTATCCACACATTCCTCCAATGTCCACCAAGAACCGGTTCTATGTACTCGACACTTCAGATGTCCCACAAATAAAAATCAAGGAGATTGAGATTTGGTAACCAGGCAGGCCACTCTTGACCAATCAACCTACCAGGGTAAGTAGCAAACAAAAACGTAGAAGTCAGCCTATCTCTGTATCAGTGTATTTTACCCTCAAACATGACGAAATTATTCTTTGAAGAATTGACAACTTTTGTTAAATTCCTGTTTACCCCTCCATCTCATTCTCTGTTAAGAAAGAACAAGACAGAAAAATTGCTTTTTCAGATTTAGCCTTACATAGAACCACCTCTCATTTACCTTACACTGTACACCACAAGTTCAACTCAGCTCCTTATATTATACTGGCTTCTTCCTTCCAACCTCCTGGATATGTAAATGCAGCTATATCCACTCTCATTTGCAGGGCATAATTGTACCACTCTTCTCCAGCATTGATACAAAATGAACTAGAAATAATAGCTACTGCTGTATGCAATGATAGATATACAATCTTCAAATTTAAATTTATCAACAACCTTGTCTTCAGTTCTCTCTTCCCACTCACCACCTCCATTCATACAACAAAAACAAGAAGCTAATATTTACAAAACTTTCTGTTCTATATTTAGGGTCTGTTACCTTACAAATACTTTGATCTTATAGAAGACACAAGATCACACCATAAAACCACAGCTATCACTCCACAGAATTCTATGTAATAATAGGGATTCCCTTACCCTTTTGGGATAGCANTCGAATTAGTCTAGAATCGATTAATTTTATGGAAGAAAACCTTTCAAACAGCCGTAGTCCATAAACTTCACACATGTTGAGCTGCAATTGGCTCATGTATTTAAGGATTCCTACAACGTGAAATTCGTATAACGTGGAGTGTATCTACGCATTATAGGGGGTCTACTGTAATTAAAATTATGGTCATAGTTATCATTTAAATTATGTTATAATTATTTCAAAAATACTTGCCAGTTACAGGAGCTTCAATATCCAACATATTTTTTTCTTGTCTAAGTATGGAAGCACCTTCGTTAATAATCCGAAGTGCTGCAGATTCTTCAATTCTTCCCTCAACAGTAAAATGTTGTTTTAATATATCTACTCGAGGTTTTTTCGTTTTCGGATCAAAAACTTCATTCATTGTTAATTTATGACTAGGCGGAAATGGCACATCTACAGAAAACAAAACACAAAAGTGATGTAATAATACAAAACTAATTCCTAGTGTCTGTTACCTTACAAATACTTTGATCTTATAGAAGACACAAGATCACACCATAAAACCACAGCTATCACTCCACAGAATTCTATGTAATGATAGGGATTCCCTTACCCTTTTGGGATTCCTTTTGGAGAACTCTGGAGTGTATATAGTCCCATTACGGCAAACACAAACGAGAGAAAAGTTCTTTTATATATATGCCACAACTAGTAAGTTATTAAACCATTTAAATTACCACCAGAATGATGGTAAAAATAACACACCCTCTCCACTGATCTTGCAAAAAAACATATTAGAAAATAACTTTACTAAACTGAGAATGGAATTATGGGCTCATAATTCCATTCTCAAGCAATGTTTAGATTACAAAACAGTGTTTATGTGGAAGTTTTTATCTTTATTAGAACCTTGCAACTTTTCCACTCTCAAAATTCCTGATATAAGGATAGCACTTTATAAAAACTTAAAATCTTAATTTTTATCTAGATTTATTTTTGTTTTAACTGCATTTATACTTCATTTTACTTAGCCTTAATTTAACAATCCATTGTTATGTGTTATTTATTCTTTATTCACATTTTATATACAGTGGTGCCTCCTATAACGTATGCCTCAAATAATGGATGCTGCAAACAACAAACTTTCTGTTTGGCTGTTACATGACTCGAGCAACGCCCAATTTTGACATAGAAGGGAGTTTTTGAAAACGAAGTATTAAAAAAATTAGCAGTTTATTTATTGTATTTCACAGTGGGGGACCGGCAGAGTCTATTATTTTTGCAGAAGAAAATAAACAAAGCTTTACTATCCTGAATTTGAAAAATAATACGATCCTGTAAAATTTAACATATCTGATGTCAATAAGACAAAGTTGAAATTATTTATATTCAGTTGATATTTAATAAGTTTACTTTTTGCATTTACAGATCAAATTTCATAAAATATAAATAAAAATCTCAGTTTTTACCCATAAGTATTTTAGATAGTAGAAAAAATGTAGAAATCCAAAATATAATCGTAATCAAGCATATATATCAGTTAAAATATAAAAATTGCATTAAAATAACACACTTTGTTGAACATCTCAAATGAAAAAGTAATTGAATTGAGTCCCGCTGCCATATTGATTAA